CAGCCTCTACCCCTGCTGTTCCGGTTCAGACCTCAAGTGCTTCCGATGAGACAGCATCACCGCCTTCAGGATGCCCAGTGCATGAAGGGAGAGTGAAAGGCTGTCCAACGAGTGCAGAAGCCTCTGGTCCAACCTGTGAGAGCAGAACATACTCTGTGCCTGCCCACCAGGATCGTGCCTGTGAGTGTGTGGAGTGTCCTGTTCCAGGCGCTGCGGCTGAGAATAAGGAGAACCTGGTCCTTCAGATCTGATGCCACCACTGATCAAACACCAGCTCCAGATCAGCGCTTTGCATTGTCTGCCGGAAGAGAGGAGTCATCCATTCCACAAGCAGATTCAGAGAAAAAAGTGGGTTTATCCTTCTGAACAGATGTTCTGGAATGCAATGTTAAGGAAAGGATGGAAGTGGAAGGATGAGGATATCAGAAAGATATGTATGATATCACTAAAATTCACAATCAGAACAATGAACAGGCCTGGAAGGAGATTTTGAAGTGGGAAGCTCTTCATGCTGCAGAGTGCCCTTGTGGTCCAACCTTGATCCGATTCGGAGGGAAAGCAAAACAATATTCACCGAGAGCCAGAATTGGTTCCTGGATGGGATATGAGCTGCCTTTCGACGGGCACGATGGGACCATCAATCGCTGTGGCACGGAAGTTGGATATGTGATAGATCATCACGATGGCGGCGAAGTCAACCAGGACAGCAGTTCACCATCCTGGACGTCCGCCCTGCCTGGGATTCCCTTTCAGCAGTATGGGACAGAATGAAAGCTGCTTGGTGGTGCTGGACATCATAACCACTGTTTTGTTTGTGATGCAAAGTAGAAACCTTTTTTTTCCTGAGAGATACATAAAACTATTTTCCCCAAACTGAACTGCCCTCGTGATGTAACGGGAACTTCATGTGGGTCCTGCCCTTCACCCTCTGCATAGCAAAGGGCCCCTGTTCCATTCAGTTTTGAGCTGCGTTTTGCCTTGCGGTTTATAGCCAATAGTTCTGAGTTTTCTTCCCGTTCGGTTTAAGTGGGAAGCAGTCCCTCAGTTTGTCCATTAGCTGCAATATTGCCTGTGTATTTCATCTAGAAAAGTCTGAAAAACCTCTGAAAAAGAGTTTTTAGAAAGTGAAGAAAGCTGCTTCTTTCTTACCGTTTTCTCAGGAATATTTGAGAAGAGATACCTGAAAGCCAG